TTTCGATAGCTTTGTGATTTTTTTTATCTGCTGTGAGATAAGCTTATGTTATTTTGTTTAAAAACAATTGTCACCCTTGTGTTCATATGTTCGGTGACTCACCACCATGGTAGCCAAACTGCAGAAGTAAAATTTCTGATCTATCAAGCCAGGTTTCGCTCTGAGATCTGACTTCTTGAGTATTATCATCAATTTGGATCATAACATAAGACCAGACCAGAGGAGCAAAGACTTGCATTTCTATAGCACCTTTTCTAAACCTCAGGACACCCTATCATGTTTTCTAACCAACAGACAGGGAGCAGACAGACGTTTCTGCAGCTGAAGACATGGTTCAAGGATGGTGTGTTGCCTCCCTGGTTCCAGGATCAGGAATGTCACTGAACAGTTGGAGGGCATCCGAAAGTGGAGGGTGATGAGCTAGAGGTCATGGTACATGTTGGTACCAGTGAAATGGGCAAAGTGAGGAATGAAGGTCTCGCATCAAGAATTTGAGGAGCTAGGCAATAGATTAAAAAGCAAGATCTCGATGATTGCAATCTCTGGATTACTCCCACGTGCTAGCAAGTGTAGAAATGGGCAAGTAGGACAGATGAATGTGTGGCTCAGTGGTTAGCACTGCAGCCTCACAGCGCCAGGGACCCGGGTTTGATTCCACCCTCGGGCGACTGTCTGTGTGGAGTTTGCACATTCTCCCCCTGTCTCTGTGGGTTTCCTCCGGGTGCTCCGGTTTCCTCCCACAGTCCAAAGATGTGCAGGCTCGGGTGGATTGGCCATGCTAAATTGCCTGTAGTGTTCAGGGATGTGTAGATGGGTTCTAGGGGTGTGGGTCTGGGTGGGATGCTCTGAGGGTCGGTGTGGGCTTGTTGGGCTGAAGGGCATGTTTCCACACTGTAGGGATTCTGTATAATTATAATTCTATATATAAGAGTTGGTGCAAGAGGGAGTGTTTTAGATTCCTGGATCACTGGGACCGTTTTTGGGAAAGGTGGGACATGTACAAATGTGACAGTCTGCACCTGAACCACACTAGGACCAACATCCTTGCTGGTGGGTTTGCTAGTGCTGTTGGGGAGGAGTTTAAACTAGTCTGACGGGGGGAGCGGCCTCATCATGCTACAGCACAGGAAGCAAGTGAGAGTGAGTTCAGCTATACTGAACATCAAGACAGTAACGCAAGGCTGGATGCTCTTTGCTCTAATGCTGGGAGTATAATAGGTAAGACTGATGAGTTAATGGTGTGGATTTACTTGTGGAAGTATGATGTTGTTGCCAGCACAGAAACAAGGTTGAAGGAAGGGCTAGACTGGCAACTTAACATTCTGGGCTCTAGGATCATTAGGCGAGACAGAAGAGGGTGTAAAAAGGGGTGGTGGTGTCGTAATGGTAGTAATTAAGGAGTCAGTTACTGCAATAAGGAGAGATGATATCATGTAAGGGTCCGCAAATGAGGCTTTGAGGGTAAAATATTAACATGGCAGCCACTTTACTGGGAGTTAATTATATGCTGCCAAAGCGTCAGTGGGAAGTACAGGAGCAAATATGTAGACAGTTCACAGAACTGTGTAAGAGTAATAATCAAGTAAGTATACTAGAGGATTTCAACTTTCCCAACATAAATTAGGACAGCCATTGTGTTAACAATATAGAAGAAGCAGGTTTCTTGAAATATTTCCCAGGGCAGTTTTTTGTATCAATGTATAGAAGGCCCAATAAGGGACAGCACAGTGCCTGATCTGGTTCTGGGGAAAGAAGCCAGAGAAGTGTTTGATGTGGCAGTGGGGGAACATTTTTAGCGATAGTGAACACAGTAAGGTTCAAAATTGTTATGAACAAGGGAAGTGATGGCTTGCAAAAGTTGGCTTTGGGTTGGTGGGGAGGCAGATTTTATTAAAATAAAGCAGGATTTAGGAAGAGCTCCTTGTGGGTAAGTCCATGGCACAGCAGCAGGGTGCATTCATAAAGGAGATGGGAAAGAGACAGGTCCCTTGATGGGGGAAGTGTAGCAGCAATAAGTTTAGAGAACCCTTGGGTGTCCAGGACAATTTAGGACTCGATGAGGAAGAAGAGAAAGGCTTTTAGCAAGTCAAGAGGGAGCAATTCAGCTGCAGTAAGTGCCAGCGGGAAAGCAATTAGAAGAGCAAAAAGGGAACAGGAGAAAGGACTTGCGAACAAGATGAGGGAGCATCCTGAGATATTTTACCAATACATTAAAAGGAAGAAGTTAACTAGGGAAAGAGTGGGGCCCATAAGGACCAAGGTGGCAACCTGTGTGTGAAGCCGCAGGATATTGGAAGGGTGTTAAATGAATACTTCTCTTCAGTCTTCACTCTGGAAAAGGAGAACCTGGATATGGAATTCAGGAAAAGGGACTGTAAGAAACTTGCGTAGTTTGACATTGGAAAAGGGGAGGTATTGGAGGCTGTGTCGGACTTAATAACAGAAAAGTCCCCTTGCCTGGATGAATTGCATCCCATGCTGCTGTGGGAGGCGAGGCAGGAAATTTCAGGGGCTCTGACACACGTTTTGTATTCCTCTCCGGCCATGGGCGGGGGAGTGCCAGAGGGCTGAAGGACGGCTAATGTGGATGCACTTTTTAAGAAGGGTGGTAGAAATGAACCAGGAAGTTACACACCGGTGAATCTCACATCAGTGGTAGGGAAACTATTGGAGAAAATTCTGCAGGAATGAATTAATATCCACTTGGAAGGACATGGGTGTTAAATAGGGATAGTCAGCATGGCTTTGTCAGAGGAAGTCACTTGATTTGATTTATTATTGTCACATGTACCTAAATACAATGAAAGGTTTTATTTTGTGTACAGTACAGGCAGATCATAATATACAAAGATCATAGGGTAATTGAACAGAGCAAGGAATACAAAATTAAGGCTGCAAAGAAGATGTATAAAAAACAAAATCAACATTAGATTTGAAATTTAAGAGGTCTATGCAGAAGTCCAATAACTGAGGAAGAAGCTGTTCTTGAATCTGTTGATACGTTTGTTTAAGCTTTTGTGCCTCTTGCCTGATGGAAGAGGCTGGAAGAGATTATAATCCGGGTGGGAGGGGTCTTTGACATCGGCAGCCTTTCTGCAGCATCAAGAAGTGCAAATGGAGTCGACGGATGGAAGGTTGGCTCGTGTGATGATCTGGACGGTGTTGATAACTTTCTGTAGTTTCTTACAGTCCTGGGCTGTGCAGTTGCTGTACCATACTGGGATGCATCAAGATAGAAAGCTTTCTGTGGTGCATCTGTAAATGTTGGTGAAGGTCCTTATGGACATGCCAAATTTCCTTAGTCTCCTGAGGAAGAAGAGGCATTGTTGCGCCTTCTTGAACGTCACATCAACGTAAATTGGAAGGGTGTGGGTTAATTAGGGATAGTCAGCATGGCTTTGTCAGATGGAGGTCATGCCTAACAGGTTTTTTAGAATTTTTCAAAAATGTGATCAAGTGTATGGATGAAGGAAGTTTACTTGATGTAGTTTATATGGATTTTAGTGAAGCTTTTGATAAGGCCCCACATGGGAGACTGATTGAAAAAGTTAAGGCACATGGAATTTAGAGAAATCTGACAAGATGGATCAGAAACTGGCTTGGTAGTAGGACAGAAAGGGTAGTGGTAGAAGGCTGTTTGATTGACAGGAGGCCAGTGTCCAGCAGTGTACCACAAGGATCAGTACTGGGACCCTTGTTGTTTGTTACATTACGTTAATGATGTAGCTGAAAATGTTGGGGGAATGTTAAGCAAGTTTGCAGACAACGCCAAGATTGGTACAGTGGTTAATAGCGAAGAAGATGGTTGCAGATTGCAGGAAGATATAGAAGAGTTGGTCAGATGGGCAGAGCAGTGGTAGATGGTATTTAACCCTGATAAGTGCGAGGTGATGCACTTTGGAAGAAACAAAAAGATGAGAGTATTTAGTGAATGGCAGGACACTGCATAACTTAAAGGAACCGTGGGATCTTGGGGTAATTATTCACAGATCCCTGAAGTCAGCAGAGCATGTGAATAGGATAGTTAAGAAAGCATATGGAACACTTGCTTTCATCAGCCCTGGCACACAGTAAAAAGCAGAGAGATGATGTTTGAGTTGTACAGAGCATGGGTTAGGCCACAGCTGGAGTACTGTGTGCAGCTCTTGTCACCTCATTACAGGAAGGATGTGATGGCACAGGAGAGGTACAGAGGAGGGTCAACAGATGTTGCCTGCAATGGAGAAATTGAGCTTTAAGGTGAGACTGGATCGGCTTGGATTGTTTTCTTTAGAGCAGAGAAGACTCAGGGGAGACATAATTGAGTTGTACATGATTATGAGGGGGTTGGACAAGGTGAATAGAGAGCAGCTGTTCCCCTTGGTTGAAGGGTCAATCGCAAGGGAACATAATTTTCGAGTAAGGGGCAGGAGATTCAGAGGGGAGTTGAGAAAAGAAAAATTCACTCAGAGGATGGTAAGAATCCGGAATGCACTGCCTGGGAAGATAGTGGAAGTCAGAAACCTTATAACCTTTAAAAAATATTTGGATGAGCACCTTATAGCTCATAACATTCAAGGAGATGGGACAAGTGCAGGAAATTAGGATTACCGCACCTTTCGTGGTAGTTATGTCAGTGCAGACTCATTGATCCTGTATGACTTTATGACTCTTTGGCTTTTTGGTGGGGAGGGACTCAGCACTCAACCCTCTCTCCTCCAGGTATCATCACTGAATCCCTATGGTGTGGAAGCAGGCCATTCAACCCATCATGTCCACACCACCCCTCCGAAGAGCATCCCACCAACCCCTACCCTTTCCCTATAACCCTGCATTTCCCATGGCTAATCCATCTAACCTACACATTCCTTAGCATGCACATCTTTGGGCTGTGGGAGGAAACTGGAGCGCCCGGAGGAAGCGGAAGCAGACGCAGACACGGGGAGAATGTGCAGACAGTCACTCGAGGCTGGAATTGAACCCACGTCCCTGACGCTGTGAGGCAGGAGTGCTAGCCATTGAGGTACCATGCCGCAGACAGGTATCCAACAGGTAATTTTGTTGTTCTTTCCCATTAAACCCTTGGTTGTTTCTTCCTCAGGTATTAAGGAGAATTTGTGCTGGACACCACCACCTGAAGTGAATCCCATGAAAACCTGTGAATATCAGGCACTTTGTGCAAGATTCAAGGAACTCCTTCCACTGCCAGGTGAAGAGAGAGATTTTCATACTTTGGGACCGATTTGAACAACAAACATACTGGGGACAGGGGCGCTGCTGCAACAGTAGTAGACTCGCCAACTTTAAGGGCATTTAAATGGTCATTGGATAAATATATGGATGATAATGGAATAGTGTAGGTTGGATGGGCTTCAGATTGGTTTCACAGGTTGGCGCAACATCGAGGGCCGAAGGGCCTGTACTGCACTGTAATGTTCTATGTTCTATGTTGATCTGCATCAGGGTATCATCAGCAGTTTCAACAACTGGCAGATATGTTGGAACATGGTTAGACCGAGAGCATCACAGCTTCTGGCTGAGAAAAGGTGTCATTGTCGTATGGGGCTCTCATCAAGCGACAAGGTTGGGTTGGAGAGGTCGGACTTGTTTTCCTCCGGGCGAAGGTGGTTGAGGAGAGATTTGATCAAGGAGTATGCAGTGATGACAAGACTGAATGGGACAGTCAAGGAAGAGCTTCTGTCAGTTGATGGTGCAAGGACTAGGGGACACAGGTTTAAGCAGTGACAATGAACAACTTCAAAAGGAAATCAGACAGGCGCTTGCAAGAAATACACCTGCAGGTGCTATAGGGAGAGCGCGGTGGGAGTGGGACGACTTAGACAGGTCAACAGAGAACTGCAAGGCCTCGATTAGCCCATGTCAAGATTGCACAGCGTCAGCCGCCCAAACTGTTAGCATTACCTCGGGTTTGTTTGGGGGCATATTAACAGAGCAGCTTTCACATACACTGGACACTTCCCTAGACATTACTTTTGAAGCAGAAACAGACATTACTGCAAAAGCACAGCTGGTCTGGCAGCATTTGTGGAAAGAAAGCAGAGTTAACATTAAGGGTGCAGTGTGACCCTTCTTCAGAATGGATTGTAGCTAGGGAAAGGTTGGTATGTGAGCTGAAGGTGGGATCAGGAGAGAAGTAAACAATAGGTGGAGGTGGAGCCCAGAGAGAACATCAGATGACCAGACAAAGAAATGGGTAAAGCAGAATCAATAGCTGCTAAAGGGAACCACTACTGGCTGACAATGCATTGTTTGTGGTAGCAACCAATATGATGACAAGGCCTGGTATGCAGCAGTTGGGGTAAGAACATGGGAGAAGTTGCTCAGGACCTAAAATTATTGGACTCAATATTGAGACCTGAAGGCTACAGGGCCCCAAACAGAACATGAGATGCTGGAGGACTGTAGCAAGCCTGAGACAGAGATGTTGGCCAATGAACAGTATGGTGTGATGAAGTGGCAGGCAACAGAAAGCTCAGGGTCATTTTTGCAGATGGAACGAATGTGTTCTGCAAAACAGTTCTTCAGAAAATGAAGGGTCCTGACCCGAAACGTCTGCTTTCCTGCTCCTCTGACGCTCCCTGGCCTGCTGTGTTCCTCCAGCTCCACACTGTGTTATCTCTTATTTAAGATTTTGGGCTCTCTGAGTAGAAGTACTGAGTAGAAAAGCAGGGAAGTTATTCTGAATTTTCACAGAACTCAATTAGGCACAGGGCTAGACTATTCTGTCCACTTCTGGCACCCACACTATAGAAAGAATGTCAGGATCTGAGAGAGGGTGCAGAGAAGATTTCCAGAGATGAGGGCGGTTTTAACAATGAGGTTGGGTTGTAGTAATTCGCCTTGTTCTCCCTGGAGCAAAGGAGATTGAGGAGAGATTTGATGAAGGTGTAATGAACAATGAGAGGCAGACAAAGAAAAGCTCCTCTTTTGTCAATGGTGCCAGGGCAAGGGAATGCACAAATATCAGGTGGGGATAAGGTGAAACATTTTTCTGTGGTAAGTGGTAATGATCTGAAAGTCACTGTCTATTTGAAGCGATGAATGATTTCAAAAGAGGGAGATAAATTTCCAGGAGCAACAGGGAAAGAACTGGGGAGTGGGACTGAGATAACAAGGTGTAGAACTGGATGAACACAGCAGACCAAGCAGCATCAGAGGAGCAGGAAAGCTGACGTTTCGGGTTTTTCTGAAGAAGGGTCCGGACCCGAAACGTCAGGTTTCCTGCTCCTATGATGCTGCTTGGCCTGCTGTGTTCATCCAGCTCTACACCTTGTTATCTCAGATTCTCCAGCATCAGTAGTTCCTACTATCTGTGAGGGGAGTCGGTCTGACTGGATTGCTGTATGTAGAGCCAGCATGACCTCGATGGGTTGAATGGCCTTGTCCTGCACTATCAATACCAGATATTCACTCTTCGTGGTGTTGATTGAAGGATAAATATTGGCCAGTGCTTCTAACCAACCTGTAAGCTCCACAACCTTTTGGCAGTTGGGAGGAGGTTTCAAATTTCTACTGTCCTTTGAGTGGGTAAATGTCTTTGTAGCTTCCTCACTCAAATAACTGAGCTCTAAATTTGAAGATTGTGGCTGTTTTGTTACAGATTTCCAACCAAGCTAGTAAATTTTCTCTGAACTGCACTATCAAATTCCTTTCTTGTCTTAAACTTACTGAGATTAAACCCTCACCCCTGTCCCACCCCAACAAACCTCCAAAATTCAAGAGAATGTAACTAGTGTTTAGTGTGACCTGCCCTCATAATTTAACCTGTTAAAACATCCTCCTTGTCGATCTGTTTTGCAATCCTGACATTGTTATTACATTCTTTCTAAGGGGTAATGGCCAGAACTGAACCCAGTTCCTCCTCCAGCTCTGTTCAATAATTACGCCTTAAAAAACTTTATTCTTGGAATCCACAAAATCAATTAGGCAGTGCAGAACTATTAATTAATTTATTCGGTAAAGTACACATGAAATATTCTTAGGTCAATTGTGTGCAATTCTGGAATCCACATTATTGGAGGGATGCGATGGCACTGAGAATGAAGGAGACTTACCAGGATGTTGCCTCAGCTGGAGAGTTTGTTATGAAGAGAGTTTGGACAGACTGGGTTATTTTTCTTAGAGCAGAGGGGATTGAGAGGGGACATAATTGACATGTATAAAATTATGAGAAGCTAAAATTAGATAGGGTAGACAGAAAGAAACCTTTCCCCTTGATGGAGGGATCAGTGACCAGGGGCATGGAGTTAAGGTAAGGAGCAGAAGGTTTAAAGGAGATGTGAGGAAAAACCTTTTCCCTGAGAGGATGGTGGTAATCTGGAACTCAGTGCCTGTAAGGATGGTAGAGACAGTAACCCTTATAATATTGGAGAAGTATTTAGATGCACATTAGTGATACCAAAGCAAAGATGACCATGGGCTAAGCACTGCAAAGTGGGATTAGAATACTTAGGTGGTTATTTTTGACTGGCATTGACATGATGGGCCGAAGGGCCTTTTTCTGAGTTGCTATGCTACATTATAATATGCTGACATTTTGAATGAGCACTGTCCTAGGAATTTCCTGTGTGTTTATGGATGTATTGCCATTCCTAATTGCCCTTGAGAAGGTGGTGCTGAGCTGCCTTTTTGAACCACTGCAGTCCATGTGTGGATGGGACACCCACAATGCTATTAGGATGGTAGTTCCAGGATTTTCTTCCCAGTGTCACTGAAGGAATAGCAATATATTTCCAAGTCAGGATGGTGAGTCATTTAGAGGGGACTTGGGATGGCAGAACTGATGTACGAGGAGAAATTGAGTAGGTTATGATTATATTCACTTGACTTTGGAAGAATGACAGGTCATCTCATAGAAACCTATGGAATTCTAACAGAACTACACAGATTAGATGCAGGAAGGATGTTCCCAGTGTGTTGGGATGAGTCATAGCTTAATGATAATAGGTAAACATTTTCAGACTGAGATGAGGAATTTCTTCACCAAAAAAAGGTTGAGGCCAGAACATTGTGTTTTCAAGAAGGTGATAGATATAGTCCTTGCATTTGAAGGGATCAAGGAATGTAGGGAGAGTGCAGGGTTAGAATGTTGAGCTCGATGATTAACCATGATCATAATGAATGGCAGAGTGGGCTTCAGCTCCTATCTTCCATGTTTCTATGGTTGTGTTCTTGTGTATTTGCTGCCCTTGTCCTTCTAGGTGGTAGCAGCCGTGGGTTTGGAAGATGCTGTCTTGGTAAGCCACTGCACTGAATCTTCTGATGCTACACACTACTGCTTCTATGTGTCGGTGGTGAAAGATGATACCAAACAAGTGAATGCTGTATCCTACAGGTTCATTCAGCTCTATGTTTATGACCCACACAAGCCTCCTTCCACCCTTGGCTGGATTACAAATATGTAATTTTGCAGCATGCATACACTGTACATTGAGGGATAAACATTGACCCAAGGATATCAAAAACTTGCACTTTGTATATACACATTAAAAAAAGACCTTTAATCTTGTTAAATAGCCCAAGACCCTTCACATGAGAACCATTCATCAAAAATGCCAGAATTTAGCAGCTAAAAGTAGTGCCACCAATGGTGGAAAGGTCGAAATCAGGGTAAATCAAGAGGCCAGATTTTGTTTAAATTTTGGGGAGTTGTGGAGCTTGCGGAGATGGGAGGAGTGAGGCCATGAAGAAATGAGACTTTTTTCGTACATTAATTTAGAGTCAGTGTAAATCAGAGAGTTCAGACAGACTTTGCAGCAGCAATAGCATGAGCAGCAGAGTTTTGGATGATCCCGGGTTTGCAGAGGGTAAAATGCAGAAGACCAGTCAATGAACTGGAGCATAGCAATCAAGCAACATTACCAAGGTGGAAATGGCTGACCTTGTTCACAGTGTGGCTGTATGGCTAGAAACTCACTTCAGGGTTAAATACAGCATCAAACATTTCCTCAGAAAAGTTCAGCCTTAGATTTTTTCCCAGAAGAATGCAATCAGGAATTAGGGAATCAGAGGCGGTACGGTGGCTCAGTGGTTAGCACTGCGGCCTCACAGCACCGGGGACCCGGGTTCAATTCCACCCTCGGGCGACTGTGTAGAGTTTGCATATCCTCCCCATGTCTGCGTGGGTTTCCTCTGGGTGCTCCAGTTTCCTCCCACAGCCCAAAGATTTGCAGGCTACATGGATTGGTCATGCTAAATTGCCCATAGTTTTCAGGGCTGTGTAGATTAGGTGGGTTATAGGGGGATGGGTCTGGATGGGATGCTCTGACAGTCGGTGTGGACTTGTTGGGCCGTAGGGCTTGTTTCCACGCTGTAGGGATTCTATGATCAACGAACAGAGTTTGTGCCAGAGTCCGAGGGTGAGGATTTTGCCACCCAGACATTTAATTGGAGGAAGTTTCTGCTCATCCTGCTCTGCATAACTGATAGAAAGTTTTGCAGTTTGGAGACAGTGGAGGAGTCAACAGACATGGTATTGAGATGGAGTTCAGTTTTGTCAGCATATACTTGGAATTGAGTGTGTTTTCCAATTATATCACCAAGAGGCAGCATGTAGATGAGAAACATGAAATGACCAGGGATCGATTCTCTGAAAACACCAGACCTGATGGTGTGGGAACAGGAAGAGAAGCTATTGCAGGTAATTCTGTAGCTACAATTAGACACATAAGAATGGAATGAGGTGAGTACAGGCCTGTCCTGCTGGAGGATCAGTTTTCACCCAATGACCCCTCCCCAAATATGGAGGTTAAGTGTGGATGAATTTGAGAATGACCATTGATACCTTCTATGGTTAATTTGGCAGCCATGCACCATTCAAGATCCGTGCAACGATGGTGGTCTTAGGGCTATCATTATGCCAGCAATCAGTAGCTCAGGATGCAGAGGAGAGGGATATTCGAGGGTTAAGGGTGTGTTGGAATAATTCTGTGATTCTGTAACAATGGAGTGAAAGAGTTGGAAGTGTTAGAAGGAATATTACTGTCAGAGTGACTGGAATGAGTTCTGGTTGTCATGAAGATGGGCTTGCATTGCAGATGGTTACTTCGACGAGGAGCTGAAGTGCAACCTGTGCTACTGTGAATCCTGCCACAAATTGCGTGGAGATGAAGCCTACTACAAGCGGGGCGACCCGCCAAAGGACTACGCCCTTCCATTCGGATGGTGCAGGTTCGCACTCAGGTAAATGGTCAAGGGGCTGGTACTTGCGCTGGTTGATCTGAGCACATCTGGAAGTTTTAAGAAGGTTGCCAAGCTAACCAAGGGCTGGACTAACCTTGTGAGATTTAATCAACAAAGTGAGATTCTGGGCTGTCCATCTATGCACCCACATGGATGTCATGTTGGAGTTGGGTGTCTTGCATGGAGGGGGAGGTAACTGGTGGACCATGGGCTTGGTCCCACCTCTGAGTGGTGACCTTTGTTTGGTTGCTATTAGCACCTGAGGTTTTTGGCCATAGCTCGTGCATTTTATTAGCCACGCTGCATTCTGGGGGCATCTAAACAAGTTGCAGAAACTGATGTAAAAACACAGAGACTTTAGTTTTGAACGTTTTTCTTTCTTTTGTATGTTGCATGAGCTGTGCTAACTGCTGTATTCTGCAGGCTGAATCCACGTTGTGAAGTTGCTAATGTCTACAAGAAGTGGCACACAGCATATCATGGAACGTGTGTGGGCTCCCTGCGACGAACCTTGGACCATGGGGAGCTGGTATCAGGTATGTGACCAGACAAAATCTCAGTGGGTTGTTGGGGTGGGGACTGGGGAAGGGAGGAAAGCATTTGACCTTTAACACATTGGAACCACCACTCTCCCCATCCTTCATGTGCAGAAAGGTTTATCATGTTGTCTACTTGTACCATTTCATCTTATGACGGTCTTGGTATCTTTTACGCTTTTACTGAGGGAGTTGCCTGTTCAACTTTGGATGGTTTGTTTGAGTTAAGCTTGTTGCTTCTTTTCTTCCCAACCCCGCACTGAAAATACTCCCCCCACCACCACCAGTCCACTGCTGGCTATGCATCCCATCTGTCCCCACGTTGTTACAAGCCCGGTTCTGTCTGGTGGGAGGGTTCTGCCATGATAGAAATTGTCTCATGGGATACCAATTAAAATCCTGAGCTCCAGTCACCACTGGCTGGGAGTGGTCCCAGACAGGGTTTGAACTCTCCACCGTCTGGTTCAGAGATGGAAATGTTCCTTCTGTAGGTCAGACAGAAAGCCAAACTCACTCAACGCACTCTGGAGAGCAATTCCCAGCCTGAGTACAGACAGATGCTTAGGTAGTTAAGAAGCAGTGAAATCAAAACAGGTCAAAGATAGCAGGGTGACATCAACCAAATGTGTCAGTGGACAAATTACGGGTGTAAGGATTGCTTTCATCTTCAAATTGATTTCATTCCTACAGGCATTGGTCAAAAGAACCAGAGAATCAGGTCATTAATGAGATAGGACACTTTTTAATTCCAGTATCTGTTCATGGATCCTTCATGCGTTTATATTCAATCTGAGAACTCCATGTTGCTTCACAATTCAACATGAGAACATAATACAGTGGTTTGTTCACAGCTCTCATACTAATTCAGCTTTAATTACTGCATTGATCTCTTTAGATCAAAGATACATAAAGGTGCCATCACAATAGTGACATGCAGGCAGAAAGATAGAGATTCCCTCAGCTTGTCTGAATTTTTCCTATTCATTTGTGGTTATATGGCTCATTATATTTTGATTTTTTTATGTTTATGAATACAGTCATCAGTTGAACATTCCCCTCATAGATCAGCCTTCTGAGCTGTGGAGAGATCCTTGCCTCAGCCCTGTTTCAAAGTTTACCTTGTGACAATTGCATTAATTCATTCTGTGCTGATGCCAGAAACTTGTCAGGACATTGAGATGCGTATGTAGTATGTACCCTCTTCAGCACATACGCAGGTAAAGTTTAACATGGCAAAGTGTCATCCAGGAAGGAAGAGTTGTACCGTTTATTGACACACTTCCTTTGAAACAATGTGAAGTAGTGGAATGTTTGCAGACTGCAGCACTCTTGACAGGGTGAGATATTTGTGTTTTTGTATTGTTGCACTCTTACCTCAGAAAATAGAGAGAAGCGGTGGGAGACTTTGCAGATTGGTTAACTCTAACACAATATGGTCCAATGTATCCTTTCATGGTCAAATGTTTTGACCAGTTCATGTTATGACTGCACAAGTCAGATTTGAAATCTGGCTTCGTAGATCAAATTTTATTTTGTCTTAGTTTTAATCAGGAGGTGTCTACTGAAATAATCATGCAATGTTGCAGATTTGATTTTAGCAATGAAACTAAAATTTATCAAATAAAAGAAATGAAGATAAAATAGAACAAACTAAACAATATACATCATGTTATTTAATGATTTTGAAACACATACTACAAATATAGTCCCATTTATTTCAGGACAATGTCCAAAATGCCCCTAGACCGTACCAGAAACCACCCTTTGTTCAGTATTCACACCAGAGAAAAATCTTTTCCTGACACATCACTGGGTCTAGATTAACTGTGACTTCAAGTCTGAGTCTGGGAAATCTGATGAGAGTTCTCCTGGAGTTTTTATACGTCTGAGTTAAAATGCTCTCCGCTTCAAATAATCTCTTCATTGTGTTATCCAAACACTTCTGGTCTGAGACTATCATAAAGCTTCTTACTTTCAGATAATCTAGTTTCATTATCTTCTTCCCCTCTTCTCAGGAGTGCTGCTTTATGCATCCATCTTCGTCCAAGATTTAGGCAGAACTGCCCCAAACTGAAAACCAAATAAACACTTTTACCTCAACTGCAGAATTGTCTCGCAGAAACCTTGATGCACAGTTTGTCTACCTTTATAAACCCTCCTAATGTAAAGTCACCCTCTGACTGGTGATCATCTTCTAAAATGATATTAATTTTGCAGTGGGGTTCCTGCAGATTGGAAAGTTTTAATGGTAACTATGCAGAAAAGAAAGTTTCAGAAAAGAATGAGAGAAAACAGGGAACGGCAGACCTGTTAACCTAACGCCAATAGCAGGGAAAATACTAGAATCTATTCTAAAGGATATGATCACTGGATATTTAGAAACTAATTGTCTGATTGGGCAGAGTCAACTTGAATGCTGAAAGGAAAATCATGTTTGACAAATCTGAGTGTTTTGAAGATGTTACTAGCAGAGTCGATGAAGAGAAATGTTATGGACCAGACTGAGCACCCTCAAAATATATTAAGATAGCCTAGACCCTAATGTTCTCTTATTTCAAAGGCAAGTGTCAGGTGTTGCATTCCAGATTCAATTTGATTGGTCAAACTACCAACCTTGAAGCAAAATACACGTTATTCTTACACTATAGTTAACATACAACAAAAGAAAGAATTGGAATAATGTAATACTATTGGAAAACTTAACAGAATAATAGATTATTTAACTGCTAAACAGTAACTGTTCCAATATAGTAACATCCCATAAACACAAAGGCAAATTCAGTAAAGTAGATTGTCTCACATGCAATTCTAGCAGCAGAAAGGCAACCTCAGCTTTTAGCTGTAACAGAGAGGAAAACCAACTTCCACATCCAACTTCAAGATCCTGGCAGCTGCTACTGAAATCTAAAGAGATTAGTAAGCAAAATTAAAGCTCATGGTATCAGAGGTAATGTATTGACGTGGATAGAGAACTGGTTGGCGGACAGGAAGTAGAGAGTTGGAGTAAACGGGTCCTTTTCAGAGTGGCAGGCAGTGATGAGCAGGGTACAGTGCTGGGACCTCAGTTCACAATATACATTAACAATTTAGACGAAGGATTTGAATGCAATATCTCCAAATTTGCAGAAGAGACTAAACTCGGTGGCAGTGTGTGCTGCAAGGAGGAAGCTAAGGAGCAGCAGATTGACCTCGATAGGCTGGCTGAGTGGGCAAATACGTGGCAAATGCAGTATAATGTGGATAAATGTGAGGTTATCCACTTTGGTCGCAAAAATGGGAAGGCAGATTATTATCTGAACGGTGGTAGTTTAGGAAAAGGTGAGGTGCAACGAGAGCTGGGTGTCATGTGGAACAGTCGCTGAAGGTTGGCGTACAGGTGCAGCAGGCAGTGAGGAAAGCTAATGGCATGCTCTCTATAGCGAGAGGATTTGAGTATCGGAATAAGGATGTCATGCTGCAGTTATATAGGGCCTTGGTGAGGTCACAACTTGAGTATTGTGTGTAGTTTTGGCCTCCTAGTCTGAAGAGGGACATTCTTGCTATTGAGTGAGGCCAGCAAAGGTTCACCAGACTGATTCCTGGGATGGCAGGACAGACATATTGGGAAAGAGTAGATCGACTGGGCTTGTACTCACTGGAATTTTGAAGAATTGAGAGGGCATCTCATAGAAACATATAAAATCCTGATGGGACTGGATGGGCTACGTGCAGGAAGAATGTTCCGAGTGCTGGGAAAGTCCAGAACTAGGGAGTCACAGTCTAAGAATAAGGTCTAAGCCATTCAGGACTGAGATGAGGAAGAATTTCTTCACTCAGAGTTGTGAACTTGTGGAATTCTACAATAGAAAGCTGTTGGGGCCAGTTCCTTAGATGTACTCGAGGCAACTGGATGTGGCCCTTATGGCTAAAGGGATCAAGGGGTATGGAGAGAAAGCAGGAGTGGGATACTGAAATAGCATGATCAGCCATGATCGTATTGAGTGATGGTGCAGGCTCAAAGGCTCAACTTCTGCACCTATTTTCTATGTAAAACTAAAAATCCTGGTTCTGTGGGAGCTTGACCCCACCCAGTGATACCAGTCAGATATCTCAAGGATCAACGCTTTTCATAATCTGTGTGAATGATTCGGGTGTGGAGCTGCTTGTAATATTTCCTGACGATAGAAAGCTCGGAAAATGAGAGATTTGAAGAGGATGCAAGGAGACTTCAAGGGGATTCAGACAGGCTGAGTGAGTGGGCAACAGCATGATAGACAATCTAATATGGAGAAGTGAGATGTCATCCACTTCAGTAGGAGGAACAGAACTACAGGTTATTTATTCAATGAGAAGAGATCGATAACTGTTGATGTCTGAAGATGATTCAGAGATAGTAGGAACTGCCGATGCTGCCGATCCAGCTCTACACCTTGTTATCTCGATGTCTAAAGATGACGTTACTGAAAGCTCACATGCTGGTGGAGCAAGCAATTCACAAGTAAAAGAGCATGTTCATCTTTATTATAAGGGTATTTGAATACAGGAGCAGTCAATTATATAGAACACTAGTGAGACAGCACATGGCGTATCGTATGCAGGTGTGTTCCCCTTGCCTAAGGAAGAATGTTCCTGCCTTAGAGGGAGTGCAGCGGAGGTTCACCAAACTGATTCCTGGGATAGCGGGATTGTACCGTGAGGAAAGATTGAGGAAATTGGGCTCACATTCTCAAAGTTTAGAAAAATGAGAAGCATTCTCATAGAAACTTCAAAACTCTTTAAAGGACAGAGTTGATGCAGAAAGGATGTTTCCCCAGCTGTGGAGTCAAGAGCCATGGACACAGTCTCAGAATGCAAGGCAAGCCTGATTTGAGGAGGAATTTTGTCACTTTGAAGATGGTAAATCTTGGAATTCTTAACCCAAGAGGGATATGGAAATTCAATCATTGATAAGTTCAAGTTCAAATTGATAAGTTTCTAGTTACTAATGATGTAAAGAGATAGGGGTTTGAGGCATATGATCAACCGTGATCTGGAATGGTGGGACAGACTCAAGGAGCTGAATGGCTTCCTCTTCCTCTGTTCTCTGTGGGTCCAAGCTTCATATTCTGAGTAAATTGGATTCCCGACCTGATTTCTTGTAATTATTGCATTCCTGCAAGCCTCTATTACTACTGTGTCCCACAAGAGCAAACTTTCTCTCCACATTCACTTGGTCAACACTGTTCATCATTGTAAGGATGTTGATGAGATCACCCCTTGGCCTTCCCGTTTCAAGGGAAAAGAGATCTAGCCAAACATTTGTCAATTTGTAAAGCCGTTTATTTGAAGTCAAAGCTATCTACTCTTTTTAACTGAAAGTGAAGCTCCCTCTAAGCTAACCCCATAAAACAACTCCAAGACAGTTTCAGCACTGGATTAGATAAAGAGTAAAGTTGCCTCTGCACTGTGCCCACCAAACATTCCGAGGTGCAGCATGTGTTTAGAAAAAGCCAATGTCTGAGCTGAGGCAGCAGTCATGTTTGCCAATCCAAACTTGTGTAACCATGCATTTTTTGTTTTCTGATGATATGAGAGAAACAACTAAAATCTTTGCTTTTGTCCTCTAATTTCTTTTCTTTCTCCCTGCCTCTGCCCTTTACCACCTTGCCTCCATGCTGTTACTGTGCTGCTCAACCTGGCCGCCTCCACATTAAAGCAGGGAGCTCCTCGATCTTCTGCACCAATGAGGCTAAAGTTGAGCTCCAGAATGGATACAATGATCCCGAGGAGAACAGTATTCAGGAGAAGGACGTTGTAAAAGTCAGCCTCTCTCCAACAATGCGATATATTGGTCTTGACCGGTTCTGTCCTAAAATACGGTACGTACTGAGCAAATCCAGATATGTGGTCAAATTAATATTACCCCTTCATTGGGCAGGGTGCGTCGGGGGACAGTGAAGGCACAAAATAATATTGCTGCTCTGCTTGTAGCCCGGAGCCCATGTTCACTGGGAGGATGGTTTGATATTTGTTTGGCAGAAATTGAGGTGAATGGGTGTACAAATCCCACTGATGCATGTTATGAAATTTAAATTTATATATCTGTTCATTTGGCACGAGAACAGAACTAGCTGGGCCAAGGGTTAATTGCCCATAAACTACTGCTATTCAGGAAATGGAAGCTACCAACTGCTGCTTGGTCTCGTCTCTACAATTGTCCAATCCCAGACTTCGTAGCTTTCCCTACCCAGCTCTCCGGATCATTGTGGTAAAGCACAGTGGCAATCCCATGATACTAGGGGTGGGCAATGGTGCAGCCACATCCCAAGAAACAGTCAGAAAGATTACTTGGAAGTGTATGCCAATTTTTTTTTTAAATTCTTTCACAGAAAGTGATTGTTGCTGACTAAGCCAACTTTTGTTTCAGCTATCCCAAAAGGTGTGGTGGGACCCCTTCTCTGAGTCACTGCATTCACTGCAGTTGCTGTTAGGGAGGGAGTTTCAGGATTTTGATCCAGTGACAGTGAGAAAACAGTGATATAGTTCCTGGTCAGGATGGTGTGTGGCTTTAAGGGCAACTTGCGTTTGGTGGTGTTCCCATATACTTGCCGCCCTTGTCCTTCTAGATGGTAGAGGCTCTGGGTCTGGAAGATGCTACTGAAGGAGCTGTGGTGATTTTCTGCAGTGCATCTTGTTGCTGGTACCCACTGCTGGTACTGAATGTCTGTGCTGAAGGGAGTGAATGTTTACGGATGTGGTACTAGTCAAGCGAGCTGGTTTGGCCTGGATGGTGTCAAGCTTCTTGAGTTTTGTTGGGGCTGCAGTCATCCAGGCAAGTGGTGAGTATTCCATTACACTCCTGACTTGTGCCATGTAGGTTGTGGACAAGCTGTGGAGCTACTCGCTGCAAAATTCTGACCTACTCTTGCTGCCACGTTATTTACATTGAACATCGAACAGTACAGCAGAGGGGCAGGCCCTTCGGCCCCCCATGCATATGCCAACAATGATACCATTCTAAATTAATCCCATCCACCTGCACGTGGTCTGTATCCCTCTGTTCTATGCCTGTTCATATGTCTGTCTAAATGCCTCTTAAACTTTGCTATTGTATCTGCTTCTACCAACTCCCTTGGCAGCTTGTTCCAGGCAGCTACTACCCTCTATGTTTAAAAACAAAACAACTTCCTAACATAACTCCTTTAAACTTTCCTTCTCTCACCTTAAACCTGTTCCTGCTAGTATTTGACATTTCCACCCTGGGGGTAAAAGATTCCAACTATCCACCCTATCCATGCCTCTCAAAATTTTATATATTTCTGTCAGATCACCCCCTCAGCCACTGGCACTCCAGTGAAAACAATCCAGGTTTGTCCAACTTCTCCTTTTTGCTAGTATCCAGGCAACATTGTGGAAAACTTCTTTTGCACCTTCTTCAAAGCCTCCATAGAATTGCGCACATTTATACGATTAGCCCAGCTCAGTCTGTTGTCAATGGTTATCTCTTCAGAATGTTGATAGTGGGGTTTCAATGATGGTAATGCCATTGAACGTCATGGGAAGGTGGTTAAATTCTCTTTTGTTGGAGATGGTCACTGTCTGGCACTTGTGTGGCATGTGTGTAACTTTCTATTTGTCAGCCCAGACTGGGGTGATATTCAGGTCTTGCTACATTTGGACATGGACTACTTTATTTTGGGGGCTCATGAATGGCCCTTGCGCCCTAGTATCAAGTTCCATGAACCAGTTTTTTGCCCAATACAAGAGCTAAGATATCTTGTCTGACTGCACCCAGAAACTGAGTAACTGGACCCAAATCCAAATCTCCACCCCTTCTTACTTTTCAGCATCTGGTCCCACGCTAAGTTTTCAAACTATATTTTCTCACAGCTAGTGAGACTTGACTTGTCCATCACCTCGAAACCTTATCGGCTGTTTGTTTATGCCACACACTCTGTGCCTCGCAAGGTGCAGAAGGTAATTTGAAAGAAAGATTTACACTAATGTGGCCCAGTTCACAACCTCTGAACATTGCCAAGTATTTCAGAGTCAATGGAGCACCCTATGAAGTCAGTCGCTGTTGCAGGAAATGCTTTAGCCAATTTTCACACAGCAAGATCCCTAAAACAACAATCTGGTGACATCAGGTAATTGTTCAAGGAATTGGTTGGTTAGCGCAAAAGTGAGTACCCCCAGCTGTCGGGTTTGTTTCCGTGGAATCTTTTCCATTTGCCTGAAATTACAGTTGGGGCCTGGGTTTGGCGTCTCATCCTGAAAGGCAGAACATTTGACAGTGCAGTGCCCTCTTAGTAATGAACCTCCAAAACAGTTCCATTGACCGTCTACTGACCCTCCGACAGAGTGGCACTCCTTTATTATTGACCCTCCAAGAGTGCAACACTGTCTTGGTACTGACCCTTTGAAGGGATGAACCCGCTCAGTATTAGTAATGTGAATGTCGGCCTGCGTTATGTGTACATAACGTGTGAGTTTGAACCCACTGACTGCCATTTGACACTATTTGCTACATTTGATGTGGAATAAACATCCAGGAAGTTGTGTTCAGAGCCCAGCTACTTGTGCTGTTACTTGAGGCTCTGCATTGAGCGCTCCTGCTTACCACTACCTTGGGTGTGTGCTACACTGGAGTTGTTAAGATTAGGCCTGAGGCATGAAGAGTTCAGAAGAAAGTCTTGCTGCCTTAAACGTTGCTACAGCATTTGCGCACACCTGCCCCTCTGATGGGGGCACTTTTACCTTTTACCCTCAAGAAGAGGAGATATCCAGTGTCAGGAGTTCTATATTCTAGTAATGAATCAGGCTTCTGGCCTGTTCCTCAGGCTGTGTGCAGCCCAGGCCTCAAGGTTCTACTGTCCAAGGATTTAAAAGAAACTTCTTTTAAAAACAAAAAAAACTATAAAACCGTTCTCCTCATAATTGACCTACTCACCTGTCTACCTTATAAAGACAAGCAAACATATCAAAACTTAAAACAATCATTGGATAGTTAGATCCCAGGTGCTCAGTTCTGGGAAGCACACTTTAGGACTGTGAAGGCCTTACAGAAGACACAGGAGATTTACTGGATTAGTTCCAGAAGTGAGGGTTATTGTGAAATTAGTGAAGTTTGGGTTATCTATACTGCAGAGAAAATAAGAAGAGATTCAACTGAGGTGTTTAAAATCTTGGCCTCCTTTAATAGAATAAAGAGCTGTTTTCAGTGACAGGAGGATACAGATTTAGTCATTTGCCAAAGAATCAGAAGAAGAGACGAGAAGATTTTAATTCAGCGCCACCTAAAAGGCTGTTCGAAGCAGATTCGCTGGAAATTTCAAAAAGGATCGATATTTGAGAAAGGAGTATTGTTGATAAAAGCTACACAATTTGACAAGTCTTTTCATCTTGCACACTTCAGGGCCACTCGCAAGAATACCAATTCAAGGGGCAAACTAACATTTGTAAAGCATGAAAGGAGATTGCAGGTTGAGTCTGGTTGGTCAAGGTGATCCTTTTACTGAAAAGGTGGCATTAACTGGATTGTGGGGATTGGGACAAATTTGATAAATCTTCCAAAGAGCCAGCACAAATTTATCTTTTTTTTTTCTGAGCTGTAAGATGTTAAATAATTCTTGTCTTTTATTCTGGTTAATTATGCTAATTCATTCCTTAGGTTCAAGGACTTGAAATCCCAACGACATCACCATGCTCAAGTGGCCTTCCAGGTTTGTGTGCGGCCAGGATCGTATAAGGTGGGCCCACAGTCTGTGGGGGCCAGTGAGTCAATCGATCCCAGGTTCAGCAACAACGAAATCGAGTGGATCACCAAGGAGAGGGCCTCAACGGTCCTTTATGGCCTGTTAATCCGTGTGGAATGAAGGATTTCCCATCTAACCCACTAGCCCCTGTGAAACTCTGGAGGAGAGAAAGACTGCGAGCATGGAGCAAACCCTGGGGGAGCAGGGGATGATCCCACTTTGGTGCTACAGCAACAGTGGTGTATTGGGTGGGGTTTGGGGTGGCGAGAGAGCACAGAGTTGGGACACGTTTGCACAGTTTTACACAACTTGCTGTTACACCAGTGGAATGCTGCACTATTGACTCTTATGTTCAAAAGAGAGAAAAACACACACAAAAAAAAAACCTCAAACTAAAATGTTCAGTTGAGTTTAATCTTGCATTTTGGGGAGGGGTATGTTTTTGTTAGGGATGGGTGTGGGCCCAGTTTCCACTGAGGTGAACAGTTTTGTAGGTTTGTTTTTTCAGAAGAAGTTTCCATTTAACTCCTTGGACGATAGAAACTTGAGGCCTGGGCTGCACACAGCCTGAGGGACAGGCCAGAAGCCTGATTCATTACTAGAATATAGAACACTTAACACTGGATATTTCCTCTTCTTGAGGGGGTTGGGGATTGGAAAGATAGGGCACAGAAAGGTAAAAGTGCCCCCATCGGAGGGACAGGTGTGTGCAAACGCTGTTGCAACATTTAAGGCAGTAAGACTTTCTTCTGAACTCCTGTGCACATGATTGCATGCCAACCACAGAGAAACTTGCAAACATGTGTAGTGTGTGAGCTGCCAGGGTAGGGAAGGATGGGCATGCCAGTGTGTTTGTCAGTAAATGGGCTGGAAGCGGGGAAACGGTTACATAGATCTTCTAAATCTGCCCAAATCTCAGGATGAAAGGGAGAAGCGGCATGGGGTTGGCCCCTGTCAGTTGGCCCGGTCACTGCACCAAGGAATTGCCTAAGACTCGAGCGTGATGCACCTCCAGCAAGTAATCGCTGCTTGCCTTCACCCTCTGAGCTCAGCCACTGCAATGTGGACTGGCACATATCCTATTGTGACCAGTGTGGGGTTTTTTGACATAAGTTGGACTCCACTGCTAATCATAGAATCCCTACAGTGCAGAAGCAGGCAGTTCGGCCCATGGAGTCCACACCGACCCTCCGAAGAGCGTCCCACTCAGAACCCCAGACCCCCCCGCCCCCCCACATACCTGTAACCCTGCATTTCCCATGGCTGACCCTCCGACCCCACGCCTGCAACATCCCTGGACACTGTGGGGCAATTTTGCATGGCCAATCCACCATAACCTGCACATCTTTGGACTATCTGTTGGCTGCCTGTTGTCAGTTTTCTGCCATTTCATCTTTGATGTAAAGCTGCCAATTAGTATCCAGTGGGAATTGGAAGGGATGGGATGGGCTAGCAGTTACAAGGTGGGGTATGACTGCAGCTGAGGAATGCAGGGATAAACTGAGAAGGTCCCACTGCCGCAGTGTGAACTGGCGGAGGCAACAGCTGACTGAGAGCATCGCCTGGACTTATTTGATGGCTTCGTGTATTTTGCACTGGAAGGTTTTTTTTCGCCGACGCAGACCTTCTTGCGAACAAAGCAGACTGCTTTAAAACGTTAACTCAAAATGCATGTGCATATGTTGTAACTTGTTCATGTTTAGGCTGTGACACGCAGGAAGCTGGAACAGAAATGGGATTGGCAGAGAGGTTGGAGTCATTCCTGGGCTGTGTATATCCCACACCCCATTCAGACATACTCTAGACAATCAGTTCTGCTGAGTTGTTTAACCCTTCACAGTCTAATGTCAGACTAAATGCAAGGTCACCTACTCTCCGATCATTTACCACTTCAAGCCATGTGGCTGATTTATCCTTTCAAGAGCGATTTTTCAACAGTTTTCAAATTTTCTGTGATGAATAATCCTGACTGGAAGCAGTTTTCAGAGTGGGAGTTGGCACTTTTAATAGAGATGGTAAGTGTCTATTGGTGTTTAAACTGAATTAATATAACTCTGTCAGAGGAATGTAAGACTGCAGTCTGGAAACTTCTTAAGTTACATGAGATTCTTCTCTTTCCCTTGCCTCTTTTTCCTTCCTTCAACTTGTCCTTCCCTGGCAAGGTGTCTTACAAGCTAGAAGCACATCCCCTCTTATTAAAGTCATTTAATCTTTAGCCTGGGGAACAGTGAGGGTTGGGGGAAGAGAGAAGGAAGTGGAACACTCCAATGGATGGTAAGAGACTGACAAAAAAAAACCAAACGTGCTGGAGAAACTCAGCAGGTCTGGCAGCACCCGTGGAGAGAGAGAGAGACAGAATCCACTTCTCAAGTTGAGTATGACTTCAGAAGAATTGTCATAATGGACTTAACGAGGACTGTTTCTCCACAGGCATTGCCAGATTGCCCAATTTTCTCCAGCACTTTTTTTTTCCAGAGTTTCAGTATCCGCAGTATTTTAACTTTATTGTAACGGGGACGTCTGTATTTCTCTCCCTCTTCCATTACCGATGAGAGTCTGTTTTTAATAAAAAAGGGAACAAGTGATTTTAAGAGACAGTTACATTTGACATTCATAAAAGGTTATCTCAAAAGAAGTGTCTTGCTGTTCAAGGATCTACTTTTTGAATGTAAGCAGGTTGAGACTTGTGGGAGTGGCACAGGGAGTCTCCACCTCAAGGCGTGCAGTGATTCAAGGAGAGCTTCTACCAGGGAGCGAGGGACATGCCCTGTCCAACATTGTCCACATCCCAAAAAAAACTAGACCTGTGATTTCCTCTATCCAGAACTGGCAAATGTTTTTAGAGACTTTGTCTCCTCAACTGTTCCCAGGTATTTAAACACCTAGGAAACGAGAGTAGGGGCCATTCAGCCCCTTGAAATTTCTGTATCCCATTAGATTATGTGCCTGCCCTTCATCTTAGTTGCCATCTGCCGACCCTTGCTGTAATTTGAGGCCAAAACCAGTATTGGTAAAAGTGTTACTAAGGAGAATGCATGATAATTGACAGTAAAGTGCCAGGTTTTGTATAAAGCCTGGCAGTTGATTATAAATCATCATAACAACTATTGCAACAGTGACTATCATCTCAAAAGTCTGTGATTGGCTTAAAATGCTTTGGAATGCCCAGGAGTTGAGGTACCACATTAAAGCAAGCGTTTCTTTCAATCAACACCGCCACTTAGCTCAAATGCCACTGTTGGGTTATCCTTAAGATTTAGTGGAGAGAATACCAGCCCAGACTGTGCAGCTTTATATTTAACTATAACACTTACCATGTTCCTCACAACAAGCTGGAACTTGACTTGCCTGTTTTCTACCTCTATCATTATCCTATTCCAGCTTGAACCAGTATAGCAACTGTAATCTAAGTGGTAGTTTGTCACTTCTGAAAGGTCCTCTCTAATTTGTGTTTTCTTTGGGGTTGAAGGACCAGCCCCTCTTGCAGGATGTGGAGCACTGAGCACAATGCCTGGGGGTCCATCATCAGCTGCTTCGGCCTGTGCTGATATTTCAATGTGCACTTTGTAAAGGGAAAGGGATGAAGTGTTTGGCAGAGAGGGTGGTGGAGCATTTCACTTTTGCAATGCAAGTCCCTTGGGATGAAGACTAATGTTGCATAGTGTTTATGATTTACTTGCAAGACCAGTGCTGTCTCTTTGTCATCAAAACACTTCCAATTCCTTGATTCTACTACGGATTCTCTTTACCTCTGTCATGAAGAAAACATTCTGTTTAGTCTTCCTCTGATTCAGAGTCTGCTTTGGTTTGTTTGACTTTTCTTTCCGTATCCCTTTGTAATCACTTGACCATTGGGATGTGGGGTAGCACTGGCTAGACCAGTATTTATTGCTAATTCCTAAAAGGCCAGAGGGCAGTTTAGAGTCAATGACATTGCTGTGGGTTGGAAGTCATGTAGAGCTGTTGGGGAAGGACAATTTCCCAAAAGAACGTTAATGATCCGGATGGCTTTTACAACACAGGCAGTGATGGTGTCGTGGTACTATTGCTAGACTGTTAATCCATAGACTCAGGTAAGGTTCTGGGGACCCGGATTCAAATCCCACCACGGCAGATGGTGGAATTTGAACTCAGCAACAAATCTGGAATCAAGAGTCCAATGATGACCATGAAACCATTGTCAATTGTTGGGATAAAAGCCCATCTGCTCACTCATGTCCTTTAGGGAAGGAAACTGCCATCATAACCTGGTCTAGTCCAGTCTATATGTGACTTCAAATCCATGGCAATGTGGTTGACTCTTAACTGCCCTCTGGACTATTAAGGATGGACAACAAATGCCTCTCTAGCCAGCATCACCCACGCGCTGTAAATGGAAAAAAATATTGACACGTGGTCACCATCAGACTAACTTTTTATTCCAGTTTTTCTTTTCCATTGAATTCCAGTTACGCAACCTTCCATTTTGGGATTTGAATTTACAATCCTAGAAGATTAGCCTGGAGTTCTAGATTACTCATTCAGTGAAATGACAACTATACCACCACCCCACATTTGTTTTACCCTGACAAAGACAGGTTGCTTTTGCCCCATTTGTCGCCTCAATTTCCAGTTCACCTCACAAGGTTGCCTCCAGTTATGTACACTTTCACACTTACTGACAAATTCTTGTATAGGTCCTGAGACTATTCAAAGCTGCTGTTTTAATGCCCTGCTGAGTAAATGCTGCAGTGTCACAGGTGCTATCTTTCCATGAAGACATTAAGTCAAGACTCCATCTGCCTTCTAAGGTGATATTAAAAGATCTCACATCTGCAATTGCAATTATCTGCAGAGTCCTGGCTAATTTTTTTTTTGCTTCTACCAATATCATTAAAACAGACCCTTTTACACCCATTGGTCATTGCATTTTCTACATTTGCAGCAGTGACCACTCAATTACTCCAATTGGTTGGGAAATGCTTTGAGATGTGCTGAAGTTGTTCATGGTATAAATGTAAATTAATCACACTTTTCCATATCAAACTTCCTGCTAAACCTGATGATGACATGATTGGCAAGCTACTACTGGCATTTGATCTTCAGCCAAATAAAAATATTCATATGACACTGCAGGCGACTTGAGCTTGGACTGATTTATCCAATTTTGTCGAACTTAATACAGATTTCTTTTCCCCTTTCAAATATTTGAAGGTTCCTACTGATCTTTTTTAATTCTTTCACAGGATGAGACTATTACTGGAATCTGTTACCCATCCCCAATTACCCTTAAGAAGCTGATGGTGAGCTACCTTCTTGAAACATTACAGACCATGGGTGGAGCAATACTAGTGCTGTTAGGAATGGAGTTTCCCAGGATTTTGACCCAACAACATGAGGGAACTCTGATGTAATTTGAAGTAAGGAGGATTTATGGCTTGGAGGAAACTTGCAGTTATGTCCCCATGTATCTGCTGCCCTTGTCGTCCTAGGTGGTAGGGGTCGTGGGTTTAGAAACTGTCGTGAGTTGCTGCAGTGCATCTTGTAACTGGTACACACTGCTGCTACTGTGCATTTACAGTGAAAAATGTAAACCTTGAATGTAATAGGATGCTTTGTTCCGAATGATGTTGAGTCTCTCGAGTATGGTTGGAGCTGCACTCATCCAGACAAGTGGAGCATATTCCGTCACGCCCCTGACTTGTGCCTTGCAGACAATACTAAGGGATTGCTGGAGGTGCTGACTGTGAGATGGAACGTTAAATGGTGTCCCAACGTACCCGCTCAGGTTGATGTGCAAAATCCTACTGCTATTTGGAGAAAAGCAGGTGAATTATGCACTGTTAAAGTTTCGAGTCCAGTGACCCTCCTTCAGAATGTTTTGCAAAAGGATCACTGGACTCTATATTAACACTGCTTTCTCTCCACAGCTGCTGCCAGATCTGCTGAATTTGTCCAGCAATTTCTCTTTTTGTTTCGGATTCCCAGCATCAACAATTCTTTGTTATATTTTAGAGTTGTGCACTGTATTTGGCCAACATTTATTCGTCAGTCAGCATCACTAAAATAATCTGGTCAATGTTACATTGCTGTGTTTAGGAGGTATGATGTACAACATGTTTGCTGAATTTCCAACATGATTCCTGTGACTAAACTTTGAGATGTATGGCAGCTGTGAAGATCTTTCTTTTCACAGTAATCCTCCCAAAAATCAGGAAATGAAGGGAAGAGGGGATGATCCCTATGAGAGCTCCACTGTCTGGAATGTCCATAAGTTACATAGAATCACAAAAGTATTACAATATGAAGGAGGCCATTCCGTCCATTGTGTCCATGCCAGCTCTTTGCAAGAGCACATCAAGTTTCCTACAACCACTCCTACCCCACACACATGCACAGACTTCCCCCTAGACCTGCAAATATTTTCTCTTTAGGTGCTTCCAGTTCGCTTTGGAAAGCCATGGTTTGATCTGTAATAATATTAAGATAAAACGTGTTTTTTCAATAAACATTTCACTGAATATAATAACATTGTCTTCACTCTGTACTTCCAAAAAATAGGCAATGATGACTGGAACTAGGAATGAGTGCTAACTTGAGAAACTGGTGCATGTGAGAATTTCTGGAATTTTTTTCTTTTCCTGTAATTTAGATTAACAGCCAGACTCTGACTTAGAAATTAAACTGCAAGCTATTTAAAAAGCTTAGCTTAGTAGAAAATGGCTGGCAGCGGTAGTTATCTGCCAACAAATTGGAAGTGATGCCATAAATGAGTTTTGCAGAAAGCTGACTTATTCACAAACTTGACAGTCACCAGTCCTCCATATAGACTTTGTGACCGCACAGCAGGAAGACAGGGAACACGTGCTAACTTTGGAATCTGGTGGAGAGGTGGTAATGTCACTGAATGAGTAATCCAAAGACCCAATCTATTCCATTGGACATGTGGATTCAAATCCCATCAGGCCACTTGGTAGAATTTAAATACAATTTATACGGTCTGGAGTGACAACTATCATTGATTATTGTAAGAAACACTCTGGTTTACTCATGTGCATTAAGGATGAAATCTGTTATCCTTATCTGATCTGGTCTGCATATCTGATCTGGTCTGCATGTAACTCCAGATTCATAGCAATGTGATTTACTCTTAACTGACCTATGAAATGGACTAGCAAGCCATTCAGTTTATGTGCAGTTGGGACAGGTGACGAATGCTGACCTAACCAGTGATATCTATATCTATAACCAGTGGTATTTATAGGGTGGCACTGCTGTCTCACAGCACCAGGGACCTGGGGTCGATTCCACCCTCAGGCAACTGTGTGGAGTTTGAACATTCTCCCTGTGTCTGTGTGGGTTTCCTCCAGGTGCTCCGGTTTCCTCCCGCAGTCCAAAGATGTGCAGGTTAGGTGGATTGGCCATTCTAAATTGCTCGTAGTGTTCAGGGATGTGTAGCTTAGGTGGGTTATGACGAGGTGGGTCTGGGTGGGATGCTTCAAGGGTCGGTGTGGGCTTGTTGGGCTGAAGGGCCTGTTTCCACACTGAAGGGTTTCTATGAAATATATCCCATGAAAGAATAAATGTGAAGCATTTGATGCAGAGAGAAAAGGAGGTGCAACTTTTTAATACTTTAATGATCTTGGACTCCAGGTTGCTCTAATGGAGTCTGAGCATCGCTTTCTACAACACACCAGAGAGGGCAAAAGTTACCTGGACATTTTATTCCAGGAGACAGTTACACATCTTGGGCTAGGTACTTCCGATTTGGTCAAGAATGGGAGGGTGTGACTATAAATGGAGCAGACACTTGGATCCAGAAGAGTTAGCACTTTAGATGGCTCAGTCATTGCAATTGTCTGACAGGGTCCTTTTGTTTGGGTGATAGTATGGAGAGTTCAAGTAAAAACCAGGTCAGCTCTACTGAGAGCAAATTCACAGAAACAAGACATGGGGGTAACTAAAATGGAGGACTTAGTTTTTCTTCTGATCTGAACATTGCAGTCCAGAAGACTCTAAAGTGCCATAGTAGAAGATGCAGTGATGTTCCTCCAGTTCGTGTTAGGCTTCACTGAAAATAATTTTTATTCACTAATACAAATTTATCATCAGTTTAATAGGTTTTTAAAATTTAAGTTTTGATTTATTTTCTCCCTCATCCACAAGATTATAGGACACCACCGCCATGCCTACTTCGTGGATGTATTTACATAGCTGTGCTGGTTTCTGGTGATCCAGTGCCCTGTTGAAATGGTAATGATCACAAGAGTATATTACATCACCATAACATCGCCATCAATCAATTGCACAATTTGATCACAAAACATGGGAACAGACAGTTGCCACTCAGCCCAACAAGAGCAGAGACTGGATGGTTTAGAATTATGGTCACTGGGATTCAGAAGAATGAAGGAGGATCTCATAGCAACCCATAAAGTTCTAACAGGATTAAACACAGTAAATGCAGAAAGGACTTTCCCAATTACTAGGGAGTCCAGAATCAGGGGTCACAGTTTAAGGTTATGGGATAGGCCATTTAGGACTGAGAAGGGGAGAAATTTCTTCACCCAGAGAGTGACGAGCCTGTGGGAATTCTCTGTCGCATAAAAGGGAAAAGGCCAAATCATTGAATGTTTTCAAGAAGGAGTTAGATATAGTTTTGAAGGCTAACAGGATCATAGAGTATGGGGAAAAAGTGGGAATGGAATTGTTACATCCCTCCATCTCTGAGTCCAAGGATATAGACTTGTTTTTATTTTGTGGTTCTTCCTGGGGCATTTTAGCACCGGTCAGGTTCCTCGACTCTGCCTCTGATACAGGCAGCGTGTAATGCACAGTAGCTTACCTCTTGCACCCAGAGTATCTCGGAAGAAATTCATTCTCTTCTTTAGGTGGCAAAGGCTAAAGGCATCAAGGCAGCGACATCCACCGTGTCCATCTCAGATTCCAAGGTATCTTTCATGCATGACAGAGAGGGAGAACCCACCGGTTCCAGAGCAGTCGGAAAGGCTGTCCAGGAGCCGGGCATGTTTTGCTCCCACACTGTTTGTAAGTTTGCAACTTTCATATGGTGCACATGCTTGCTCAGGACTGTTGCACCTACCCAACTTTAAACATCACTACACCTGATCTCGCATCGACCATGCGTCTTACCCATACAGGGCCATTCCCATGGTTCATACACCAAACTTCATCCCCTGAAGTAAATTGTCTCTCTCACTTAGCAGAGTCTTGTGTCCAGCATTGGTGTTCCTGATGCTGTTTCACCTTCCCCTACCCAGGTCCAGGAAGATCAGATTTAACCCAGTGTGGGGTTTTCTCCTCATTAGCAACTCTTCTGGAGTTATCCCTGTAGTTGCATGAGGGGTGGTCCTATAATCAAATAGGAACTGGGACAGTTTGGTATCTAGTCAAGCTGTAGGCTGTTTTCTTAAGCCTTCAAAGTTTGGACTGCTCTCTCTGCCAGACCATTGGATGACCTTTGGTATAGAGCTGTCCTTGTATGACGAATAACATTCGACTTTACGAAATAATCAGACACGTGCTGTTAAGCGATGGCCCACTGTCTGTGACCAACATGTCCGAGAAGGCAAAAGATGCATGCAGATTCTCTATTGTCATCCCCGTGTTTGACAAATGAACTCTATGCACATTCAACCACTTTGAGTGGGTGTGCACAATGCCTAGGAACGTTGTGCCCATGAACGGACCTGCATAGTCGACATATAACTGAGTCCAGGGTTTACGCAGCCATTCCCACAAATGTAGGGGCAATGCTGATAGTAAATTTTGTCCTTGTTGGCACTCTGGGCACTGGCCACCAATGTGTCTATGTCTGCATCCAGTTCTGGCCACCAGACATAATTTCTTGCCAACATCTTCATTTTGGAAACCCCTGAATGACCCTGGTGAAGTTCAGCCAGTATCTGGTAGCGAACTTAGCTCGGGACACTCATTCTTGCTCTCTATAATAATATGCCATCCTCTCCTGTGACGTGGTCTCTCTGGATCTGAAAAGGTTTCAGCTCTGGTTGTGATGGCCCTTTGGTTTTCCCCCTGCCACCACCAGCTGTTCCACCTGTGCCAGGACCAGATCTTTCTGCACCCAAAGTCTGATATTGTCAGCTGTGACTGGAGGTGCGTCCTGAAAATTTAAAACCATGACAGAACCTTCCAGTGGTGTACCAGCCAGTGGGAGGCAGCTCAATGCATCTGCATTTGCTACTTGACTTCCCAGAAGGTGTCCCAACTTGTAATTTCATGCACCTAGAATTAGAGCCTACTGCTGAATTCAGCCTGAAGTTATGGGCGGCACTGCCTTATCCTCTTTAAGTAGACTTAGCAGTGGTTTGTGGTGCGTTATTATTACAAATTTATATTTGTAAAGGCATTGGTGGAACCTCCTGAGTTTAAATATGACCACCAAACCTCTCTTCTCTATCTGGGTGTATTTATGCTCTGCATGAGCCAAAGTCCTGGATGTATAGGCTATTGGGCATTCCTGTCCATTGGGCTTCCTATGAGCTACCGCGATGCCATAAAAGGAGGCATCGCATGTCAATACCAGATCTCACTTGGGATCATAGTGTGTTACTTTATTGTGCTTCCTGAGCTACTTCCAAGATAGCAGGGTTGTAGGACTCCTGAGCTGGACCTCACCCACTCTGTCCGTTTCTTTTTTCTCTCTCTCTTTTTGCACATTTTTAAAAAAACTTTTAGCTTCCATCCTTGGGCAGCATCAGTGATGTCTGTGGTGAAAGCCAGCACGGACTCCCAGCCTTGAGATAAACCCAGCACAGTTTGGGTGGAAGAACTGTTATTCTGAATTCTTATTTCTCTGAAATTCTAATTTATTGAGGCAGTTTTAATTTCTTTATGTAGCTAATTTTTTCCCTAAGAATTTGTATTTAAGAATCTGCACCTTAGTACCATGGTACCTAAGATGGTGCTGTAAATGGTGACTTGTAAATTTTTCACTCATTGAGTACATGTGACATTAAAGCTAATTCTAATTCTAATACTAGATGATGATAGCTATTACTTCACTTCCCCGAAAGCTGTGGTAGGGCTACATGACCATTTCCAAGGCTGACCCTTTTCTAAGAGTTGATACAAAGATGCAGGGATGGAGGCCAGGTTCTGTATGAAGTTTCCATAATAATTCACCAGCCTAAGGAAAGACCTAAGCTCCAGTACAGACATAGGAGCAGGGGCACATTTGATCACCCCCTCTTTATCTTCCAACTTGTCAACACTTGTCTTGTCAACTCTGTAGCCCAGGTACTTGGTCACTTGCGGTGCATGGAACATGCATTTTTCCCTTCTAAGGCATACGCCCATTTGGGAGAAACATCTAAAGACTATGTCCAAGTTCTCTAAGTGCTCTTTATGGTCTTCCCTGTCACTAGCATGTTGTCTAGATAAATGACGACCTGGGGTAGTAGACCTTGTAAAATGTTCTGTATTATCCACTGAAAACTTACACAGGCTGTCGATACCCCAAACGGCAATCTCGCATATTGGTAC